TTTTTTTTTTTTGGTGGTACTGGGGATTGAACTCAGGACCTTGTGCTTGCCAGGCGGGCATCGTACTGCAGAGCTATCTCCTCAGCTATTAGGTGATGTTTATTGATCTGCAGTGTTTTGTAAGCCAACTTTTAAGTGCTTTATGAGAACTGACTCACAAGAATTCAGCACCCCTATGGCATCATCACAACTTCATCATCATCCCATTTTACGGATGAAATAGTTGGGGGTCATGTCATTCAAGGAACTTGCCTGTATCAGTTAGTGCTCGCTAGAGGAACAGATTCATACAAGATACACAAAGTCAAAACGATGTACAGGATGGGCTCACTTTGGCTGTGTGCAGAATTAGGCATGAGAGTGTAGAAGGGGTATCTGTGTGCTGAAGAACAGAAGACCAAGACCTGGGCGCAGGGCAGCATCATGTGGGGTCTCCTATCAGGAGGCTGAGGATCCACAGTGGGACGTGTGCTGGAAGTCAGGAGAGGTCGAAGGGGAGATGCAGACTGCAGCAATTCTGACAAAGCAGCAGTGAGCCTTCCTTCATTTTTCTTACATTCCATTCAAAGTAAGCATATTCGTTGGTACAATTTACATCCAACCCAAAGTGGAGTCTTTTTTTTTTTTTTTTTTTTTTCCAGTACTGGGGATTGAACTCAGGACCCTATGCTTGCCAGGCAGGTGCTTATTCTACTGAGCTATCCCCCAGCCCCAGTAAGGGGAAGTCTTCTGTCTTTAGTAAATCCTTTCAGCTACACACAGCATTGTACTGATCTATTTAAGTAGGGTATTTGTTACTCAAGTTGACAGGATCGGTTAACTTTTACAGAGTTATAAGAAGACTATAGAGATATAAAAGATGAGTGAAATATGCCAAGGTTCCTCTAACTAGTTCCCTAATGCTTACCAAATTCTATCTATCTATCTACCTATTATCTATCTATCTACCTATTATCTATTATCTATCTATCTATCTATCTATCTACCTATCTATTATCTATCTATCTATCCCAACTTAGGTTTAAAATCAGCTAAAGACCCAGGGATGGTGGTGCATGCCTGCAATCTCAACACTTGGGAGGCTGAAACAGGAGAATTACTGAGAGCTCAGGGTCAGCCTGAGCTAGAGTAAGTTTAAGGATGGCCCAAACAAACAGCCTGTCTCCAAAAATCCAAAATAAAACCACCTCACCCAAATGAACAAACCAAAAAACCAACCAGCAAACAACAACAAAACCCATCACTTAAACAAAACTGGTATGTACATAGGTTTCCATAAGTGTAGCAAAAGTCAGAAAGATAACTAGCAAGCTGTTCATGTCAGATTTAAAGACTAGGAAGGAGAGGGACAAACATGTGCTTAGAGCCTCTGATGTACTCTTATAGACCTTTACTTAGATTATCTCATTTGACCCTCATGGCATTCTTGCAAGATGGAAGTTACATTATAGAGTAAGTTTAAGAAGTTTCTTATTAGCTGTCTTTCTTAAGATGCAGGGCAGAAGATATGGTGAGGCTCTCTAAGTGGAAAGAACAGCCTAAGAATATGCACACAGATACACAGCCACAGAGAGCAGGATGCTGTGACTGACCTGACAAGAGCTCAGGGCTCATGATGCGAAATAGTGCAAAACAGACAAGGCAGGGGTAGAAGGGCCACAGGGTGGAAGGGCTGGATGCCAGCGCAATTGAGATGAGCCAACACTGACGCACAGACAGCAAGCTTGGTGGGAGCGGGACGGAAAATGGAAATGGAAGCTCCATCATTTTTATACACTTCTGAATTGCTTCACAACCACCTATTACTTTTTTGCAATAAAAATGGTCAGTTACAGTTAGGGGCAAGAAGTTCTAGAGTGCTACTGCACACACTCTCTTGACTATAGATAACAACAATGAATTGTACATCTCAAAGCTATAAAAGTTTGGTGAAAGTTTTCAGCAGAAAGAAAAGGTAGGAGCTGAATGCAGTGGCACATGCTTGTATGGAGGTGCTTAGGAGGCTGAGTATGAGAATGGAAAGTCCGAGGCAAACCTGGGCAATTTAATGAGACTAACTCTCAAAGTAAAAGAAAAAGTCAGTGATAAGATGCTTTCATAACATGTGGTGGGCCCTGAATTTGATCCCAACCACAAGTTAAAAGGAGAAAATGATATCTGTTTGAGAAGATAAATATGTTTACCATGATTTAAACTTTACGAAACATAAACATGTACAAAAGCATCGCAGATTCCCTTGTTAGTCCACAAATTTTATTTCTATGCATCAGTTAAAAATAAACTTAATGTGAGTAAAAAACATTCAAGCAAACAGTGTTTTGGGGGCAGCTGTGGAGACTGAACCCTGGGCCTGGTGCATTCTAGGGAAGTGCTTCACCACTGAGCTACATCTTAACCTGTTAGGAACTATTTTCTAATCCTTGTATGCTCCATGCTGCACTATCATTGATTCCTATCACACAGAGACTCCCAGGGACATTATCATTACACAGAGTTAGGCTTATTGTCTTGTTTTTGTTATTGTTTGGTTTTTTGGCGGGTATTGAATTCAGGCCCTTGTGCTTGCCAGGGAAGCACTTATTCTACTGAGCCATCTCCCTGGCCCCTAGGCTTATTGTCTTGTAAAGAAGGAGAAGAGTGATGAGGGGTCCTGGGGCAGCTCAGTGGGAGGGAACCTCCCATAGGGGTTGCCCTTTTATATTTCCAGTGAGGACAAGCTTCACTGGGTGTTAAAAGACCATAGTTTTAAGATTTAAGTAGCAAGCACCCAAAATTTATTTAAACTGGGAACACTTCCACATGAAATAGATGGCCTCTCACTTCTTAAATGAAAGTCTAAAGACCCCAGAAAGAACAGCTATATCTCCATCTTGTGACACATTTGATTCATAAATTTTTACCAGCTCTCATTCCACACAGGATGCTTCTCAGGGCAAGTTTCATGTCCTTATTACGAAGACTATAGATCAGGGGATTAAAGAGAGGCGTCATTACCGAGTACACCAGCGTGAGGACCTTCTGCATCAACGTGGGGATGCCGTAGGTAGGGCTCACATACGTCACCATGACCGTCCCGTAGAAAAGAGACACCACAGCTAAATGAGAGCCACAGGTGGAGAAGGTCTTCCATCGCCCATATCTGGAAGGCACCTGGAAAACAGTCCTAAGCAGAAGAATATAGGACCGGAGAATGTACACAATAGTGAAGAAGAGAACAAAGGAACTCTGAGCATAAAAAATAGTTTCAGTAACTGGAGCTGGGGCACAAGACAGAGCCATCAGTGGGTCCATGTCACACAAGAAGTGATCGATGATGTTAGAACCACAGAAAGGTAGCTGGGAGATGAAATAAATGGGTATCGGATACCCCAGGAAGCCAGCGAGCCAGCACGAGGACACCAGCACGCAACAGAACCTGCGTGTCATGAGGGTGGGGTAGTGCAGGGGGCGGCAGATCGCCAAGTACCGGTCATAGGCCATTACTGCCAGGAAGAGACATTCAGTCGTGCCCAGCGAAAAGAAGACATAGAACTGAAGGAAGCACCCAGAGAATGAGACGACCTTCGTCTTGGAGAGCGTGTTGGTCAGTATGTTGGGAACGGTGGAGGAGACATACCAGATCTCTAGGAAGGCAAAGTTTCCCAGCAGAAAGTACATGGGAGTGTGCAGTCGTGGGTCACATCTCACCGCGCAGACAATGGCGCCATTTCCCAGCAAGGTCAAGACATAAGCCACCAAGAGCAATGCGAAGAGGGAAATCTGTATCTTCCAGGAACCAGGGAATCCCAGGAGAACAAACCCAGTTACATGTGTTGCTGATCTGTTCATGGGACCTAAGCCTATCAAGAAGAAGCTTGAGTTTATATGAGCTTTCTCTTATACAAGAAGGTGGCTTTCTGGGGTTGGCTTGGAGAGGGATAGGCACAGTGGTGCTGACCATCACCAACATCAAAGATCTCACTGCTCTGGGAGGGAAATTCCAGGTGAGGGAGAGCATTCACGTGGTTCTCTGTACTTTCATTTCTGGAGATGCCAAACAGTGGCTTGTTTTCTGTACTCTGTTGAGATATTTAACAGGTGAATTGATGTTAAATCCATGTGCTTGCAGGGATTACTGTAAAGCCCCCAGGTCTCTCCCAAGCAAGTATCAGGTGCTCCCTCCTTTTCCCTGGAGCACATGCCCTTTCTAACCCTTGGGACTCATCTAGAATTTAGTGTGTTTGTTTCTCTGTTGTTAATTGTAGTATATTGGCTAGAGTCAGAAAAGTGGAGCCAGGGGAAGAGTCAAGTTCTAGGAGGCTTTCCACCAGAAAGAAATTGCATTCCATAAAGGAATCAATCCTGTTAGGGGTTACTTTTATCTATCTAAATTGAAAACTGAGATATGTATGAGAGCAAACCTTTCTTCTGAAGCTTAAATGAAGTACTTGAACAGAGAGAAACAGAAAACTATATTTTCTTGGTTACTTAAATATCACTCATTTTCAACAGTATGGTGATCACCCTGTTGTACTATCTAGGCACTGACCGACAAGCCCTGCAGTTGATTTCAGGAAAGGTGAGAGTAGAATGAGAGTTGCCAGAGGCTGGGGAGGTAGGAAAGGAAGGAGTCAGGAAGGTCGATGAATGGGTACTGGGTTAGAGTTAGGAGGGGGAAGTTGTGGCACACAGTGCACATGGTAGGGTGATGGGGGAGTTTGAATGTTCTCAACGTAAAAAAATGGTAAGTGTTTGAGGAGACAGAGATACTTACCCTGAATTAAACATTATAGGATGTGTACATGTGTCTGAGTAGCACATGTCATCCATAAATATGTCCAACTTGTTTTTTTGGGTTTTTTTTTTTTTTTTTTTTTTTTGGCAGAACCAGAGATTGAACTCAGGCCCTTCACTTGCCAGGCAAGTGCTTATTCTACTGAGCCATCTCCCCAGTCCTATATGTTCAACTTTTATGCTCCTATGTGTCAGTTAAATTTACATTATTAAAGGAATCAACTTAATTTTTCTGGAGTCTTTCACTGTATGGACCAGGTGGTGGGTATAAGCTGGATCTATGGTCTTTAGTGATCTGGAAATGAGACATTAATTGATGTGGAAAGATTTCCAAAATTATTTTATATTATTGATTCAACCCTATCCTTGCCATATTTTTTTTGAGACAGGGTCTATCTATGTAGTTCAGACAGGGCTTGGACTCGCTATGTAGTCCAGGCTGGCCTCTAACTCATAGCAATGCTCCTGCTTCAGCCTCCTGAGTATAGTGATGATAGGCATGCACCACTGTTCCTAGCCCTTGTCACATTTTTAAAGATCATTTTTATTGGTTCACTGTAGATACACATAATGATCACACTCATCACAGGGAGTTTGTATAGTCACTAGAGCACACAACAAACAAACAAATGAAAGAGCTGGTAGCCTGTTGGGGTGGGAGCCTTTTCCTGTCCCTTGCTCCTGTGTGTGCCAGTGATACTTGCTGCCAGGCTGCAGTATTCTCTGTGTGAGAAAGGCTAAAGAAGCATGAGGCCTTGTGTCCCAAATTTGTCCTGTGCAGCTTCATGTACCTTTGCAGTCAATCTGCTTCTTGGAGCCTTCCCAGTAGGGCAACTCTTGCTCAGCATGCACATGGCAGTACCACTGGCAGCCCTGTGGGCTTTGCTGTGTTGTAAAGATCTATGTCTGTTTCGTTTAATCTAAAATTCTGTTTCAGGTTTATTTTGGCATCAGGCTATATATCCCTTTCTTTCAGTTGTCTATTTTTTTTTTTTTAATGTATTTAGTAAAGGTCTACAGTGTCTCACTACACAGATTGGACTCATAGTGATCTTCCTGTTTTTATAGGCTTGTACCACAAGCCCAGTCTCAATTGCCTTCTCAGCCCCTGGGGGTAGAGCTGGAATGGCATGCTGGGGATGGAACCCAGGGCTGTGCATCTGCTTAAGCAGGCACTTTAATTCACTGAGCTATCTGGCCAGCCCTCTACGCTTGACTTTTTTTTTCTCAGAACCAGGGATTGACCTCAGGCCCTTGCGCTTGCCAGGGAAGCACTTATTCCACTGAGCCATCTCCCAGCCCCCTACAGTTGACTTTTGTGTGATGTTCATATTTCTTTTTGTCCAAGGAGCTGGCAACAGTCCTTCTACCGCAGCTTCCCAAGTCCTGAGGTTACAGGTGTTTACTACCATACTTTTAATGAAAAGCATCTGTTTCTAAAGAACCTATTTTTATTTATTTAGTTTTTGAGACAAGGTCTTGCTATGTAGCCCTTACTGTGTAGCCCAGGCTGGTCTGGAACTGGTAGCGATATCCTGCCTTAGCCTCTTGAGTGCTGGAATTCCAGGTGTGCACCACTAAAGGAGCCATTTTTAGTCTGCTATTTGTGGTCATGTGCCTTTTAGCCATATATATAGATAATTATGTGTTATATATCTGCCCTTAGATTCCGTACTCCTCCTTTAATCCAGACCAAAAAGGAACTGTCAGACAAAGTACAACTACTAGAGGTGAGTTACAAATGGGTTAGTGTGGAGGACCACTTGGGTGACTCCTTGAAGGAGTTGTTGTTTCCTTTTGGCTGAACCTGACTCTGTTTCGTGTGTTGATATGTGCAGAGCTGGCTAAGACTTTTCCTTATTCTTTCAGTTTACTTTTAGTGATGAATACTGGTCCAGCCAAGGTGCTGATGGTACTCTTTAAAGACAGCAGGCGGCATTTCCTCAGACCCTGTTGTTCCCTTGTGTGCATCAGGATGGGCTGTAGAGCCAGTATTCCACCGTGGCACTGTTAGTTGGGATCCTCTGGATCAGGCTCAAGACAGAGGCTAGGTTTTCCTTGGGCATAAAGGATTGCACATCTGAGCTGAAGAATAGACCTTAAAACACTGCATGCTCCCTTGGTTGTGTTATGCAGATTACTCTTTCTGCACATCCTTTCTGCATATTGCCTAGGTGATTTCAGGCCTCCGGCCTAGCCCTGCTCACAGTGCTCACCTGTTTCCCGCCAGTCTCACAGTCACTCATCCTCAGGCCACACCCTTCTTCATGGATTAACACAGCTCAGGTTAAGCCCTGGATCAAGACCTTTGTTCTGGTGAGCCATCACCGTGGCTGGAGTTAGGACCCCATGGCTCCCCATAAGGACAAATATGCCTCAGTGTCTATTCTCACCATGGGTTGCACTGAAAATGGTAGATTGGAATTAACACTGGAATTCCAATAACTTTCTGTGGGATTCCAAATATAAACTTCCTGGGCTGTGATGAGGACCAAGAAGGGCTCTCTGTAGATTAGCCTGTAGTACTTCTCTTATCCCAGGTTCCCTGACAATGATTATGTACTTTTTCAGGCTCTGGGAAACATTGAAATTGCCATGAAGCTGGTGAAGACAGAACTCCAAAGCTCAGAACACCCATTGGATCAACACTATAGAAACCTGCATTGTCATCTGCACCCACTAGAAAATGAAAGTTATGAGTTCAAAGTAAAAAAAAAAATCATTTCTTTTCATACTTTTATACTCATAAGACCCATATCCCCTATTCTCCTACCTGCTCTGGTTAAAGAATTTCTCTCTGCCAGCAGCTTGGGAAAATAGGCTTTTTTTCTGCCTTAGATGCCCATTAGGAGCAGGAGTTTCTGCCACGTCCTGCCTGAAGCCCTTAGTTGTTCATTTCAGGCCCGTCTCTTCAGAGCTCACGTCAGTCATTCCTTCCGCTGCCCTCCACAGGTGATCTCCCAGTACCTGCAGTCTACCCATGCTCCTACACACAGTGACTACACCATGACCTTGCTGGAGGTTTTTGAAGTGGAAAAGGAGGGGGAGAAAGAAGCCTTCAGGGAGGATCTGCATAACAGGTCTGTGTCTGCTTTGAGCCTGGGAACACATGTCCTTGCCCGAAGTGCAGTTGAGGACCTTGAGGTAGCAGAGGCGGCTTGTGGCTTCTTTATGTCTGTGGCCTGTTTACATGAGAGCAAGAGTACAGTAACTGCCTTCTCGTAGGACGCTGCTGTGGCATGACTCCAGGCTGAGTAACTGGGTGGGAATCCTGAGCCACGGGCTTTGCATTGCCCCGCCAGAGGCCCCCATCACAGGTTACATGGTGAGTAGAGCTTGAGCCCTGGGTAGGACACGGGAGAAGGATTCCAGTTACTCAGTGCTGTCCTTTTCTTATCTTCCAAGTGAGCATTAGGCAGTACTGGGCTAGGGATATAGCCCAGTGGTAGAGTGCTTGCCTAGCATGCCCAAGGCCCTGAGTTCAATCCTCAGTACCACCAAAAACAAAAACAAACAAGCAATTAGGCAGTACATTTCCCAAAACTTAAACCAGCCCACTGATAACTTCTTGGTGTCTTACTGGGTTCTTCTTTAAATTCCAAATGACACTGTTTCATTGCTTCAGAATGCTAAGATTCATTGATGTTTTTACTCTGGAAGAGAGCTGTGAAGTACTGGATGCAAGACTATATTTTCTTTAAAAGAACAGCAAAAAGCCTGTCAGTGGTATGAGCCTTCCTTCTACTAATAATGGATTAAGCAGATGACCTTCACTTTGTTTATTTTAGTTTGGAAAAGGCATCTACTTTGCTGATATGTCTTCTAAGAGTGCCAAATACTGCTTTGCCTCCAGAATAAAGAATATAGGGCTGCTGCTTTTATCAGAGGTGAGGAAGGAGCATATCTGTGACTTTCAGTTTATTAATTTTTATGTTTTTTTTCCAGTGAAGAGGATTTGACCTTAGAAACAAGAGATTCACCTGAGATGAATTGAGGTTTGCCAAGGGGAATTTCCATTGTATTCCATTTTCTAGAGGCAGGGGAAAAAATTAGATGGAGTTCTCTTTGCAGCAACTCTCTCTCTCCTTTCTCTCTCTCTCTCTCTCTCTCTCTCTCTCTCTCTCTCTCTCTCTCTCTCTGTCTATCTCTGTGTCTTTCTGTTTCTATCTCTCTGTCTCACTCTGTCTCTCTCTTACACACACACACACACACACACACACACACACACACACACACACCCTTGTGGCTATTTGACTCACAGTTCTCTCTTTGTTTGTCTCCCCCTCTCTGTTTCTCCCTTTCCTCCTCTTTTGCCTGCTTCTTTATTTTTTCTTGTGAGGGAGGGTCTCCCTGTGTTGCTCAGGCAGGCTTTGATCTTCTGACTCAAACAAAGCTCCTCACTCAACATCCTACTGAGTCCCACGCCTGTGTCGCCCCACCCATGTTTCTTTGGTGCTGTAGATGGAACCCAGTATCTCACACATTATATGAACACTCTGCTACTAAACTACACCCCCAATCTGACTGGTAATATTCTAGCTTTTTTTGGCAGAACCAGAGATTGAACTCAGACCCTTGCGCTTGTCAGGGAAGTGCTTATTCCACTGAACCATCTCCCCAGCCCTATTCTAGCTTTGTATCCACAATAAAAATTAAATACAAAGTTAACTCTAGCCAGACACTCTAGCCAACCATATTACCAGAGATCAGCTTCTGAGTTCCTATTTAATTTTTCATAAGCAAATCTTTATTGGTATATTTTTTATTAATAAGCACATCATTCGTTATGGAGAATTTGTGTCTGTATATGATGTTGTTTCTTGATTCTTTTTTCCCCATTCCCATTTCCTTTCAACTCTTCTTCCTTCTTTATTTACAAAGAACTGTTTCCATTTTTGCTTCTATTCCTTTTTCCATGTCTCTCCTTTCTTCACCCTCCCTTCATCTCATTTGAACATTTTCTTCCCATTTCCCAATAGCTACTATATATTCTGGTCCTCATTTATATTTTCAATTTCCTACAGCAGAGAAACAATGCAATAAACATGTATATGCCATCTATCTCTCTTAAATATGGGCTCAAAGTGTACCTATTTAGCAAGAATTGTCTATAGCTAGTTCTTCATGGCAGAGTATTACTCTATTATATAAAAACTTCACATCTTTACCCATTCATCAGTTGATGAGCATATTAACTTTTTCTAGCTAAAGCTATTAAAAACTGTGCTGCCATAAACACTGTGTGTATATGTTGCTCTTATGATATCTTTCATTCTTTCATGAAGAAACACTGTGCTTAAACATTGTGGATTGACACTACTTCTTAGAATTGGGTCTGGGGGTAAATCTGGTACTCCATGAAGTTATGGTTTTTACTGTCAGTTAAAAAAAATTCTTTCATGTAAAAAGAAAGAGGAATATCATTTCATTTTTTTTAATTTTAAAGAGAGAAAAAACTCTCAAAAATTGGAAACAATATGGCAAGAATGGTTCATACATTGTGTATTGTTTTATTAGCCAGGGTTTTACTAGAGGAACAGGTATAACACATGGAACAGATATAACGCAAGGTGTACAAATGTGTAAAAAGTTACAAGATTGGCTTAACTGATATATAACCCTTTATGTTAGAGTTTCAAGGTGCACTTGTTTTCTTACAGAAGACTGAAGTTTATCTTTCTTTATGGCAGAACACTATTCTGTTATGTGTAACTACTACTATATTTTCTTTATCCTTCGTGTTGTGGAGGGTCACAATATTGTCATGCTTAAAGCTTATCTTTGCAAATTGGAGTATATATCACAAGCTATTAATCCTCTTGGGATTTTGTATCAAAGGCATGGGAATGTATTTTTGGTTTGGTCAGGCAGATATACCGCCCCATGCTTTGATTCAAAAGCTGGTGATACAAGAAGCAGGGGGGACAACAATGTCGAAGTACTGGTGTAAAATAGTGATGAATCAGATAGCACCTGTAGGGGATCGAACCCAGGACCTTGCACTTACCAGGAAGGTGCTTAAGCCACTGAGCTATTTCTCCAGCTCCCCCACCCCCAATGTGTTTAAAGTGATTTTTCATAAGGCAACTTTTGAAGAGTAGCACTTCTGAGCTTTGGTTCTTCAGCTTTCACTGATCCTGTGAAATTCCTGATATCTCACCAATAAATCTCTCCCTTTCTATAGTTGCACCATCCAAGATTAACTTCTATAGTATGGGAATAGAACTGCAGTTAAATATCACATTATACTAGAGCTACCTGAGATAGTGGGAGTTTGAGTATCTGCAGAGAAACAACCTTCAGGACTATGGAGGACACCAAAATCTCCTTGAGTTCCATAGTGGTCAAGACAACATAGTCACTTAAAATATTCAATTATAAATTGCTCTGAAAGTAAAAATAGTTTGGAAAAGGCTCATTCAATCTTTTTTTTTTTTTTTAACTGGGGACCTTGTGCTTGCCAGGCATGTGCTGAAGTTGCTCAGCTATCTCTCCAGCCTCCATTTTGATATTTAAAATATGAACATGCAGTTTGATGAATATTAGATGTTAATCAAGGAACCAGGGAGATGGCTTAGTGAAATAAGCACTTCCCTGGAAAAAGCAAGGGCTTGAGTTCAATCCCTGTTTCTGAAAAAAAAAAAAAATGTTAATGAAACTATTTTTTTTTTCTTCAACATATAGGACACCACTTCACACATATAGGAATGACATCCCCATGTCCCAAACCAGTGGGTCAGTCAACGAAGGTCACCTGGGGGAGGAGCGGGAAATTGAAGAGGGGACAAAGGACAGGAGACGCGAGAAATGGAGGCAAGACAAAGATTCTGATCAAGCCTCGTTTATTTAGGGGAGGTTCTGGGTATATATAGGGGGTGATGGAATGAGGAAGTCTCGGCTCTTGGGGTCGGCAGGTATCTAGGCAACGGGGAGGGTGCAACCCCTAGGGCATAGCACGTGATTCCCAGGGAATGGGCAAGGTGAGAAGGGCCATAAACTTGACTCAGCAGAGGAATAGAATGGATACCGGTTAATGGCCTCCAACATCCCCACACCTACAAGAAGGGAATTTTGTGCCATTCTTGAATCCATAGTATTTTTAAGGTGAGGGCTATAGCTCAAAAGCACAATGCCTGCCTGGCAAGCAGGACGTCATGAGTTTGAATGTCGGCACACCCCATCGTCAATATTTCAGACTGCTGACACATCATAACATCAAATGCAACAGTTTATATTCAATTTTGACTACCTTTAAATATTTATATTTTGGTTTATGCAATTTATTCTCTGGCTGCCCTTGTTTGTTTTCTCAAATGCTAAATGATCCTTTACTAAAAAGCTCCGAAGGTCCAAGCACTCAGCTTTGGGTAGGCAATACTTAATACTTTGCCAAATGAGAGGATGTGCATGTCTTTCTATGTGTCCTCCTTAAAGTTGGTCTGAGAATTGCTTGATTTCACTTGCTGCACGCCAGGGACATTTTATGACTACCTGGTAGTAAAGAAAATATGAAGGAAGAAATATGACTGTTTCAGTGACATACATTGGGTCTTTGACAGAAACAAAGTATAACTAAAGAGCAAAATGAAAGATTGTTACAGTTGTGACTGAGGCTGTGAAGAGGATGAAAATGATTACTCAGAAATGAGCTATGGTTCAGTCACCAGGAACCCTGAGGGGCTGCCTCTGCAGCATAAGAGAGCCTCAGAGGAACAGCCCAGATCTGAGACCTCTGACCTCTGCAGTTCTTTATTTGTAGCTCAGTGACCTGATAACAAAGATTTAGAAGAAAAGCATTTCCAACATTTTTGTACAGGAATTTTGGTCAGGGGTGAGGGAAAGAATGGGATGGGCTGTTGTGTGATGCATATTGGCCCAGTTTAAGCAATCTTATTGAAGGGACACAATAGGCAGAACAAATATTTTTGACAATAACCGCATTTAGTTCTGCTGACTGCTGTCCTGCAGGTTCTGCTGTAAACTCTAATCATGCATTCCAGGAGTCTTGAGCTATGTCCAGAAAGTCCCTTCTGCTTTTGCACTTATTTCAATCACTCTTTGGCCAGAGACTCCACATGAGAGATAGATAACGGGAAGTAGAGTGACAGACTTAAATAGGCAGGGGACAAAGAGATAAAGTGGAGGGGGAGGGAAGGGGAAGGGTTGAAAAAAAATAAGATGTGCTATGTATATGAACCAGCTACCCATGAGAAACATGGTAATTAGGTACTACAAACATGTGCT